GATTATACAGATTTAAATACATATAAAATACAAGCGAAATATATCAAGAAGATATATGAAATGAAAAAAAATGAAATAGATTACTTAAATAAAATTAAAGAATTATGTGAGTTGCTTAAAGTTTATGAAAGTGTTTTTGACCAAGAAGATGTCTTGAATGTTAGGCGCGATATATCTATTTTAGAAGGTAAAATCTCAGAAGACAAAAAGTTAATAAAACAATATTCGGATTTAATTGAACATATTGAAATACTTTGTCAATGTGGGGGAATAAAAGACACTAAATATTTAGATGTGAAACCCAAAAATGCTGTTAAGTGGTTGAATAAAAGTATTCAGGACTTTGAAGAAGAATACGGCGAACTAGTCAAGCCTAAATAAAAACAACCAATAATAATAATATTTTGTTGAAATAATATTATTCTTGTTTCTTATTCCTACCTTATTCCTAAACCTTATTCCTATTAGAGATATTTTATTAGAGAATACCATTTCCATTTTCAAGGGCTAGGGAATATGGGTTGGGGTATATGGGTTTTTCTATGGGGGTGCGGGGGTATGGAGTTGAGGTTAGGGTTTTTCTATGTGGGTCTTCCTGTGGGTCTTCTGGTGGTTCCAGGGTATGGGTCTTGCTATGGGTATTTTGGTGAGTTTAGGGTTGAGGTATAGGTTGTTATGGTTTGGGTCTTCAGGTGGCATAGGGGGGTGTGCATGGTTAGAAAATGGAAATGGTATCCGCTAACTTTTATTATGTCCCCTAATATTCAGGGTTGCCAAAACGGGAACATAATTTTGACAACATACCGTACACAGATTCGGATATCCAAATGAGTTCGACCCTTTCAAATCTAATCTGTTCAATCTTCTCTAGCAGGACCTTACCACTAAACACACAGCAGAGCCTTGCTTCAGTCTGCTAGATGTACCATGAACGACTGATGATATCGGCGAGAATGACTATGTTCGATCATGGGTTGCAACCTGGTTGTGACCTGTGCACTTTCCTACCAGCATTTGCCCCAAAAAAACCAAAGCCCTGAACCCGGAATCCAAAGCTCTCTTGAAACCCCAAAGCCCGTAAGCCCAAAACCGTCCTAATCCCAAACCAAAGCTCTAAACCCTGACCCTTAAAACTTTCAGGCCTGAACCCTCACAACTGGCAAACCGCCTAAACCCTAAACGTTGCTTCCTAAACCCTAAACCCTTAACAACATGATAGCTTCTATCAGTGCATAAACCCTGCAACCCTAACCTCAAAACCCTAAACCCTGAAAGGCTAAACCCTAAACCCTGAAACCTCAAACCCCTAAACCCCTTAAACCCTCAACCCTACACTCTAACCCTGAAACCCTGCACCCTACACCGCTTTCCTTGCGCGCCTTATGGGCCTCAATCCAGGTGAGCCCTCCGTCGCGCGAGAGGAAGGTGCTGGTTTCTTGCGGCTCAAACCTGGCAGTGCCTAAAATTGAAGTAGGGAGGGTTAAGGGTTTTTAGGGCTTTGGTGTTTTTCAGGGCTTTCAGGGTTTTGAGCATTAAGGTTTAAGGCTTAGGGTTTAGGGCTGAAGGCTTGGGCTTAGCATTTCGCATTTAGGGTTTAGGGTGTAGGGTTTGGCTGTAGCATGTTGAATTTAGGGTTCACGGGCACTTAGCCAGGGTCCTTCCAGACTAAAGAGGTATGTATCAATGGTTCCTGGGTTGTACCCCTAAGGTCGTACCCCCACGAGGTTTCCTTAATATAGCCCTTGTATGAGCCCATGTAGTCCCCTAGAGACCCGCAAAAGGATCCCAAAACCCAGGGGCACAACCCTCGGGGTACAAGCCTGAAAACCTTGAATGCAGGGTGTAGGCCTGAGACCCTTTCATTGGGTGAAGAAGGTTTAAGGGTTTCGTTAAAACCCTAAACCCTAACCCCTAAACCCTAATCCCTAAACCGTAAACCTGCATCCCTAAACCCTAAACCCTAATCCCTAAACCCTCATCCCTAAGGCTTTGGGATTGGGACCCCTTACGGTACAGGGTTTAACATGTGTCCTCTACTTCTTCTACCATCTCTACTACTTCCTCTACCACTCTACTATTTCTTGTACCACTTCTATTACTTCCTCTACCACTTCTGCTGCTTCCTCTACCACTTCTACTGCTTCCTCTACCACTCCTACTACCTACGTCTATTACTTCTACTACTTTTCAACAGCTGCACATTTTGAACGTTGAGCCCTGGACACTTGGCTGTCCTCCCTAGTTCATGATTATGAAAAAACTTTCTCAAAGAATATGCTGCAGGCCATGACTACCTGACTTCTAACCCCACCTAGCTGTGCTATTACCATGGAACCCCTGAACCCTAAACCCTGTAAGTTAGGAGGACCCCCCACCCTGTCATGGTGGTATAATAGGAATATAAACGGACCCTAATATAACCCTTATTATACCTTGCAGTCACTATTACAGGGTGGGGGGTCCACCTAACCTATAAGCCGTACCTACACAGGTCTCTTCAGGTTCCACTTAAGCTCAACCAAGAACCAAGTAAAGCCTTGCCTAGAACAAGCCCTGAAGCTCAGGGCACTCATAATAAATACAGTAGTAATAGTAATAAGAGTAGTAATAGCAATAATAGTAATACTCATAGCATTATTACTAATAACAATAGAAACTGTAGTACCACTAACAATAGTAGTAATACAAATAACACTGGCAATAATAGCAATAAGAATAATGAGAGACTCACGCTTTTTCCACCAAGCCCGCAGGCAGCCGCGTTCTAGCAGCGAGGCCCTTTGCCGTCTGGCATGTAGGGATTAGCGCAAACGCCAGCATGCGAGAATTTCTCGAGTGGGCTATATGGAGTTCCTATGAGCTACAGTCTATGCTCCTAGTATCCCCCTCAGTAGCCCCTATGTAGCACTCTGCCCGAAGGTTTACCGGACTGGCTACCATTGTGCGTAAAAGCATTACCTCCTATAAGAATCCCCTATGTATATATATATATAAATATCTGCACGTATGACCCCCTTTCAAGGAGTTTAGACTCTTCCTCACATGGGTGGAATAGGGGTTCTCAACCCTGAAGAGCCCCACCAACATGTCGTCTGTGCCTACTCGGAGGTCCTTGGGCTTCAACCCTAACCCGACCCCAAGCCCTGGACCCTGAAGCTAGATCCTTGACCCTAAGCGTACTGGTTGTTAGCTCGGAATAAGGGAATATCATTGCTATATACTTCCTATAGAATATATACTCATTTTCGCTACTAAGCCCCCAGTAAATAAGATCTGTTTTCAGGCCTCTGCGCTACATATGCACCTCCACTCAGCGCCTGGGCCTCCGTGGCCTGCCCTTGCGGGACTTGCCCTTGCCTCGGCGGGTCTTACCGCACCGAGGGCTGAGGCCTAAACCCTAAACCCAATGCGGTGGACTCTTCCTGGTAGGGAATGGGGGAATGGAGTGTAGGGATCAGTGCAAGGAATGAAGAAGGACTATTATAGGGACCCGTTTCTTCATTAGCGCCAGCTGGGCTGAGGATGTAGGGTATAGGGTCTATCGTTTGGGATGTGGGGTTCGTTCTCGGATGCATGACAGGACGACATGAGTGGTGGCTTGTATGAGAGATGTGTCATGGGTCATTGTAGAAAGGTTTGCACAGTCCTTTAATTGACAATCTCGAAAGCAAACCCTAAACCCTAAACCCTAAACTTACTTCCTAGGGGTGGGGTATTGGTATTTGTGGGGGATTCTGCAAGCCAAAGACCCTAAACCCTCAATCCTACGACCTAATCCTGAAACCCTGAGCCCGTAAACCCCAAACCAATAAAATCCTAAGCCCGAACCCCTAAACCAGAAACCCTGAGCCCTAAACTGGGTTGCTGTTAAGGAACTTAAATTCAGCTACCATAATGGGTATATATATATATTAAATAATAGGGTTTCCCCAATATGGTAACTTAATTTAAGTTCCTTAACAGCAACCCAGTAAACCCGAACCCTGGGCTTCTACAGGAAAGTTGCCCTT